GTAAGCTTCCTGTGGGAAGTACTTACTCCTGAACATCGCTGAAAACGTCTTATATGAACAATTCGCATTCACCAGCCTTCCAACGATTCCTTTCCACTACGTGTGTGCATCACCCTCCAAGTAGTGCACGGCTATGTCCCTCTTATAACCCTCTGGACATCGGATAGACTCAAAATTCTGTTCCAGTCTCATCCTCCCCTCATCTGCCTCAATCGGTGTAGAACCTCCAGCAAAGAACTTGGTTCCCAACTGCACCATGTGATCCAAAACCTTGAGGTAACTCGGAACCCTCTCCACTTGGTCCGCTTCCTCCCCAATCACATCCGCGTGAACCCCCACCGGTGGTACTACTTGTGGTGCTGCTGCAACCGCCGGAGCAGGAGCCACCGCAGGTAGCCTAGCTAGTACCTGTGCTAACATCCCAAGCACAGCCTCTAACCCCACTGGTGCTACATTCGCAGCAACCCCAGCTGCACCCGCAGCATTCCTAGCCACGTTCTCAGCATCTGCAGCATTCCTTGCTGCTTCCACGGCTGCCACCCTAGCCGCCTCATTCGCAACCGCGGCTGCCTGTCTCTCGGCTTCCCTTGCCCTCTCAGCAACATCACCGTTGACTGAGTTCACAGACCCCGCAGCCTGGTTGTCCCCATTGTTTCTCACGGTTTTTCTGGTATCAACCATCTGCAAGTACAATAATGCCAGTTAGCCGAAGCTAACTCAAAACGTGTTTCACAACACCACACAACAACTTACCGCGAGACCTTGGCAGTGAAGAATGGATCGGACCCCATAAACCCCAAACAAACAAACAACAGCAGTCACCAATTTCAGCCCTAGAAACGTTAAAACGCTCTGATACCAACTTGTGGTAACCCAACCCGGTAAACTGTACCGCGGCTGTGTCCCACTACATCCTCTAAGTCTGTTTCTATACTTAGCCATATTTTTAAACTTTTTCTTCATTCTTATTCTTTCTTATCAATACACAGCGGAATATAAAGCAACTCATTTCATTCATTTAACTTTCATAAAACACTTAAACAGGATTTGGGGCTAACTTAAACAAATCACAATAGTTCGCTAATGAATACAAACGATCATCTAGCAACCTAAATAGTCAAACACCAAAGCCATAAGACAAAGCACAACGTCTTAAACGATCCATCCATATCCATCACTGCCGCCTGGTCTCGCCCCTTTACTGCTTAGTACCTGCACACTCAAGATGAGAGGCATAAGTATTTCATAAATACTTAGTGAGTACGGTCATCCCGTAACACCTGGTCAGTACCAAACACGCAATCATACTTTCGGATTCAACATTCAACACAATCAGTTCGCAATAGACATAACAATATCAAACGGCCATGATCATCTAACCTAACCAACCAAGTTCAATCCCTTTTTAAGACTCATGTCTACTTCAGCGAGAATCCCACATTCCCTAAGCTAGTACATGATCCGGATTACCCTAAGGTTAGCTAGACATCATCTATGCCACGGTAACACCATACTATATCATAACAGGAGAATTGCTTATCAGTTCTAAACACATAACATGAAAATCACATAATTAACATGCAAACATTCAACCATAGCAATCCTACGGTCCTAGACACCAACCACAGTCACACACTCACCTTAGACAAGGCTGGAAACAGATTGGTCAGAAGAAACCCCGATGAAAACTGCACCAAAATGAAGATATCCGATCTCCCTAGGAATCTCTCGGCTGCCCGTACGATCCGATCCTTATCCCCTCGGCTATCTCTCGATCTGTTCACCTTTCTTCGAGCCAAACTCTGTTTTCCCTCAGAAACCCCACAAAACAAGGCTATTAGCTCGAGGTTATCCGATGAAAACTCAACACTTAGGGAAATATCCGATCGCTTACCAGTTTATCTCGGCGATGGTCAGATCTGCTCGGCGATAACCTGATCTCTCTCGGATGTCCTCGGGATAAACTGTTTTTCTTAGGGTTTTCTCTCGACTATTCTCTTTCTTTGCTTTATTGCTCTCGAATAAACACAACTCTCGCGAGAAAAGTCTCAAAATCCCTTAAATACTCGCAAAACCCTAGGTAACCCGGACTTATCCGACGTTTTCCTGGTTCCAGTAAGTTTTATCCCGGTCCGATTTGATTCTCTCGGCTATTTCCTGTACCGGCTCGACCATTCCCTCGATAAACCACAAAAATAGCCGACCACACACTTGGCCCACGGCCCAAATCCCTTCCCACTCGGATAAACCGCCCTTATCCGAGGTGTTTTCCATTTTTCACCCGGATATTCTTATTTCTCTCGGACAACTTGTCCCACCTCGGCTAATCCTCTATTTCTCTCGGAGGTTTCCTTTTCTCCCTCGGAGACAGTCCACTGACACTCGGACTAACCTCCCAGACTCCCGGATAAATCCCACTGCACTGGGATAAATCCCATTTCCCACGGACTGGACCCTGTTTTCCCTCGGATATGGTCCATCCGGCTCGGCTATCCAGCCCATACCTGACTATTTCCTCGGTTATCACCCGACCATAGTCCGAACCTCAATTTCCCAGTCAATATCCGACCCTTGGCTCGATTATTCCTCGGACAATGCCCTGTCCGGTACGATCATTCCATATTTTCTCGGATACGGATGCTACACATGGCCTCTCAATAGTTTGTGAGTTATTACTCGTCGTTCCTTGTGGAATGACTAGGTTGATCACGATCGGATCCACACAATTCGAAACATTGGAGTTTGTGCCGGTGGTGTCGACAAGGATCGTAACCTTGGGTTTGTTTTTGCCGACTGTCTGGTTGACGTTGCCGGTCGGAGTGATTTGATCTGGAGAGATCGGAATCGGGGAAATGTTTCCCGAAGGTTGTTGATTTGAATCCATTTCAGTTTCAGCTGGCTTAGGCTCTGCTCTTGAGTAAGAGAATTCAATTGATCTTTCCCCATAGACGGCGCCAAAATGTGGATGCAGAAATCCACATTCATAAATTTATAATATGATGTGTTTTTGTAAGAAAAAGACATTAGGAGAATTAATGGTTAGATTCTCTCGAACAGATTGACAGTATAAGCAAGTATTAGTCAAAATAAGAATTTGATATTAATCGGATGAATAAAATGATTACATGATTTCTCTGAAAGAGATGAAGTGAAAAGAGGTCGGAGAGCGATTACGTAGTTTTAGAGTCTCAGAAAGTGTAAAAAAAACTAAGCAGCTTGCTTCTTCTATATAGTTCTCTTCGTCGAGCTTCAACCTCCAGCACGTATCTCGACTACGTGCATCGGCCTATCCCGGAAATCTTGGGCTTGTTTGAAGTAGTGAGAATATATTCCGACTTGGTCTGGATCCTTCTTTGTTTCTCAGGGTTTTGGTACCTCGTCGAAAGGAACGCTTGATGTTTGGACTTAAATCGTTGTGAAGAATTAAACCTGAATTATGTGGACGAGGTCCAGTTAATTTATGCTTAGTTTATATTTATTTATTGGATTTGAGTGGACCAAATTTATTGTGCGAAATTCAACTGCAACAAACATGTTGTTAATACTTGCGCTGATATTATTAAGTAAATTTTTTATTTACTTTAATCTTTTTTGATGTATAGGTTGCAGTATGTATTAAATAAAATAAAATAATAAATCTGATATTTTTTACAAATTATAATAATAAAATTGAATAAAGAAATTAATACTAACTTGAAATTCATCAAACTAAAAATATATTTTAGATAATAATAAAAAATATCAAGTTTAAATTAAAGTAAATAAAAAATTACTATCAAAAATTATTATCAAAACATGTAAATAAAAAATATATTTTAGATAATAATAAAAATATCAGGTCCAATATGTAAGTTATGCATTATAAATTATTTTTAGATCAAGTTTTTTTATTCTAATTTTTTTAGATCTAATTGCCTTTGAATCTTTAATCTAAAGATAGTTTTGTAATATAATTATTTTCTAGATTAAAAGATGAGCAAATATTTATTGAAATATATTTTAACTAGGTGTTTGCGGGGTTCAATTAATTTTTTTAAAATTAACAATGTTAGTTTATTTATAGATGAAAAAATCAGATTTTATAATTATTCGAAATCAAAATTAATATATTTGAGAAATATAATTTTCATGAATATATTTTTTTGTGATAAAGCAAAATATCATATATATCTTATTTTTTAATATCTTTTATATTATCCGATAAAAATTTATATGTATGCTTTTGTTGTTTTGTTGCATCAAACAAAACTCTCAATAAAACTGTAACTTCGAATCTTCTACGACTGTTTTTTTGAAAAGATTAGAAATCTAAAAATAAAATTGTTAATAGAGACATACGGCGGTCGATTGATCTAGATTGTTTTAAAAACTTTGTTTTAATACATACAGAGTTTCAAAAAAGTTTAAATGATTTGAAGTTTTACTTGTGGCCGTATAAATCAGTTATGTTAGTCAAAAATATTAGTAGGTTAAACAATTAAATTAAAATTAGTTTAAAATAATAATAGGATCGGTTTTTTGTGATTTATACTAGTTATCTTTTTTTAGTAAACTAAATATTTTTATGATATAAACTCTAATTTGAAAAAAAAATGAAAATTACTTAAAAATTAGATTATATTAATTTGTTAATTTCATTAAGGATAAATAAAGTCTTTTCATATAAGGGGTAAAAAGTAATCAACCATCATAACTCTCAACCATAACCCAACTTGCTTCTCAATTAATAATATGATCAATTATTGTTATAATTTTTTTAATAAAAAATAAGGTGAAATTTATAATCAGTTTTTTTTATTAGAATTTGTGCGTTTTTAACAATAAAAAAATTAAAAAATGATTAATTTGGACTCTTCCAAAAAATTTGGATTTTTTAAATTAAAAAAAAATTAGATTGATTTGAGTACCAGAAATATTTTACGCGAAAAGTCGAAAACCATTTAATAATTAATGAATATTTATTTCAATTAATTTTTTTTAATTCGATTCGGTTTGGTTCGGTTCATTTCATTCCGGATAATTTAGACTTTTGTTTTTAACTTATCTATAAAAATTAAAATCTAAAAGCTGGTTTGTTGTTGCGTGTCTGATTCATCGTCTTTTTCGTCGTCGACAATTGAAAACGCGAACCGTTGATTGAATACGATGATAGCGAAATCGAAGCAGGTGATGATACTATGGCTTGAAGGTTTCCAAGAAGCTTGTTCCCTTCACCGTGTTGTCATTCTCTGCCACAGGTTGTTCCTCTCAGAAACTTATTGAAGTTTCTCTCAGTGGTGTGCGATTTAAAGACAGAACTCTAACAAATAATGGTTTTGTCTTTGAATTAGGTCGAGAAAGCTCATATTGCGAACAGGACAGTGTTTTCTTTTAAATGGTTTGATTTTCTTAGGAAGGTAAAGTTTCAAACTTTTTCTCCCTTTCTTTGATTCAGAAATTAGATTTTGGGATCAACTTACGATTCGGTTAGGAACTTGAGAAAATTTGAGACTTAATTAAAGCATATAGCTTTTTTTTTTTTTTTTTTTTTTTTGCGAAGATTCTTTAAGATGTTCATTCTTCAGGCTCACTGGAATTTTTATGAGTAGAGATCGCTAAAGTTCAATACTTTTTGGATTGGTTGGTGCAGTTTAGGTGTGTTTAAGTGGTTTATTGATCCAGCTCTTCAATGGATATTACCTGATCAATGCTCTCTTGTGACTTCTCAAGAATTTTGTTCATATGGTGGGTTTTATGCCTTTCTACGTGGTGGACTTTTGCAGCTCTTTTATGTAAGTGTTACTGCTCACATAGAGATTTTATCAAGAAGCTTGAATGAGCCTTCTTTTCTCAAGAAGTATAACACTTCCTATTTTTGGTTTATCTGACTTGGAAACTGACTTAAGAGGAACGCTTTTGTTATGGCTATAGGTGTTTTGGTTCTATCCTCTGTACATGCTCTGCTTCATCTTGAGTAACATCTGGTACCCTTCTTGCATCTTTGCTTTTTGTTTCCTTATTTTGCTTCTTAGACATCATTCTGCTCACATACTACAGTTAGGGGCTTGAAAGTTTGTACCTTTGAGCCTTCAGAAGCTGAGAATCGCCAAATCAAAAACAAAAATTTAATTGCTTTTCGTTTATATAGTCTGCATTTCTCGTGAACATTGAGGTCATGAGGTCCATCTGATTTTCAGGTATAACGATATTGCAAAGCATGGATTCGAGGCAATCGAGGAATCTGAATTAAGCTCAGCAGAAGCTAAAAGAGAAGGTGAAGCTCCGGCTTCAGTGAACGTTGCAAATGCTGAGAGGCCTTCTGGTCTTGGAGGGTACTGCTCTACTGAGTCACTTCTTCAGAAGCACAAATAAATAAAAAACTCAATTATAAGTTCTAAAGCGAATATATTTTTGCTAAACGATTCTTTTTTCAGGGTGATGATCAGTATAGGCGAACAAGTGTATTCGATACTACTACTGACGTTTTTCTTCCTGGAGGTACAAATGGTTTCACTTTGTGAATCTCCATTGAGTTTTACGCGATTTTCTTCATTCGGTCATGGTAACCTATGTGATGACTTAAACAGGTTTATCTTGTTGGTGTTATACCATACATTGGGAAGATACTGAATTTTTTACTTCTTTCGTGGATGTACGCCTACTATTGTTACGAGTATGTTTCTTGATCTCTCATCTTAGTTCTTTATCCCTATGCAATGGAGTTAGCTAGAGTCTTTAACTCACCAAATACACCTTCTCGTTGTAGATATAAGTGGAACTTCTCAGGGATTCCTCTAAAGAAAAGGCTTGACTTCTTCGAATCTAATTGGGCATTCTTTACTGGTTTTGGTAAAATCTTTTTTACTTTCTTGGTTCCATTTGCGAAGACATTACTAAATAGCTAAAAACTGAATGTTTTGGCTTTTATTTTGGATTTTTAGGAAGCCCTTGCGTGTTGGCCATTTTCTTTCTATCTCCTCTTGTGAGCGGAGCACTTATGGCCATCCTGTTTCCATTGGTACAAACGAATTTTGTTCCTGTTTTCGCTTTATCTTACAGAAACCAGTTTTAACATTCAGAATGTATGCAGTTTGTTTTAACTGCTACAGGATCAGGACCTGAGAAAGCTATAATGGCGCCGAGAAGAACGTGGAAATGCGCAGGTTTAGGGAGGTTTCCAATATTCTATGCTGCTAACACTCTCTCGTAAGGCGGTTTTATATCCTAAAATCTCTACTGATTCAAGTAAAAGTTATGTAAGAGACAATGACATTTTCGTGTGTTTGGTTTATTCGTATAACTGTGTTTGGTAATACAGGATGTTGGCTCTGTCCATCTTCCGGCTGGAGTCTCCGCACCAGATGTAACATGATGAGAAGGCTGAAGATGAAACATTAATTAGCTGCATCACTCAAATCTTCGAGGTTATGTGTATCTGTTTCGATACAGTTTGTCTTCTTGGTGATTATCAAGAACTGACTCTTGTTTCGGATGGAGTCACATTCTTGGCTTTGATTATGGTTATTTGACAACCCATGCTCATGGTCGATATGCAAAGCAACAGATATGAAGAAAGGAGATTCGTGTTAGAAAAGTCGAGTTTGATTGTAAATAATTGTAAACACACTTCGTTCAGCTCTGATTCTGACAGTGATGAGTTGTGTACTGATAACAATAAAACAACTTGAAATTTAATCAAAAAATATATTTAAGATAAACAAAAACAAATTCAAAATTTGATTAAGAAACTTAAAAAAAATAACACGCCCAAAAAATTATTTGTATTAAAAAAAATATACATATATATAATCATAATAATTAAACCACAGTAATACGATTTAATTGGTAATAATTAAAAAGATATATTTTATCCAAAAAGAAGTATTTCAAATGAAATCTATGAAAAAAATTGAGATATGGTTATTATTGGAATATTCATATATGATTTTGGATAAATTCATATCTTAGATTGATTGTATTATACGATATTATGAGATACTTTCTCTTCTCTGTTTCATAAAAAATATTATTTAATAAAAAATCTATTATATTTTTTATAAATATATTAAATAACTTTTTCTTTCTAATTAATACACAAATATAATAAAGTTAAAACTAGATTTTAATTTAAAATTTTGTTTTGGAAATACAAAATGACACTCTTTAGATAATAAAAACAAAATTCTAAAACGACACTTTATGAAATGGAATGAGTATATAAATAGCTGTATCATTCATTCAGAAATATAACGGAGAATACAATACAATGACATGGTTTCAAAGAATGATTCTTGAACCAATTTTTCTCTTTCTCTCTTTCGATTTTTCTTTCTTTCTAAACTCTTATCTTTCGATTTTTGATCATAAGTGATAATGATTCTGTTTCATCTGTGGACACTACTGTTGTAGTTATTAATAAATTGATCTCACCGTACTATTTGCATCGGCCAGGCAGGTTCAGATTCCAATTCTCCTAATAGTAGGGATGTCAATTTGGGCTAAAGTTCGAAGTCCAGCCCGGCCCGACTTTGAAAAATACTGGGTTTAAACTTTCATATAAAAGCCCAAAAAAAATCGGGCATTTTGGGCTAAACCCAATTGGGATTAAGCCCGATCAGTCTCGGGTTTACCCGAAAAACTCTGTACTTTATATTATAATTTATTTAGAAATTTTTATTAATAAATTATCTTTACAATTTAAAAAAATTAGAGTTATTGATTTTTTTATAATACTCTTTATTAATATAAAACTTTAATTTTTAGTTGTGTGTCTTCATATAAACATCAAAGCTTAAACTAAACTAGTTTCAAGAAGCACTCCTATATTCAACCTGAAAATTCTTATCTTGATTATACTATTTATCTTACTTATTTATTTAATTATATTTGATACTAGGATATTGGCCCGCACGCATGTGCAGGTATGAGCAATTTTAAAAATGTAATTATTTAAATACAATACATAAATCTGTTTTAGATATTTCAATTTTTTGTAGTTTATGAAAATCAAGGTTAGTGTTTTGAATTATAAGACTTTAAATTTAATAGTAAAATATGATCTAATTTTAACTAAACATTTTGTTATAATAAAAGGTTCATTTATATTTTGAGACAGACTTGAAAAATGATAATTAAATTTGGAAAACACAAAAATTATTTTTCCATGAACAGGAACAGGTTTTGTAAAACTTAACCCGCTATGTTAGAGGGTCAAATGGATCAAACTCGTGGATAGTTGGTTACCTTCTTCGGATTTGCGGAACATGCTGCAAATTTTATCTTCTCTGTCTTTTTTTTTCTTTGAACAAATATTTTTTTCATTTTCTTTGTCTTCCTATAATCTTCTTCAATTTAAAGCATTATTTCTTCAAGGATTCCGTCATTGTTGGTCTTGATCTACTCATATGTGCGATTTTTCTACTTATAATTCTATCACGTAGACTCTACAAATAATTGCAAGACCATCTCCACTTAGGCATCAAGTGCTTCAACTAACCCTATTGCAAGACATGTGTTCAGCGAATGTTAGATATAAAACTTCGTTTACTGTCCTGAAATCTTTGAAGCATACTGGTCCTCTCTGAACATTTAGCAACATTTTAAAGTAGAAAAGCTCACTATATTCTTCTAAAACTTCTGGAAGGCTGATATCTTAGGAAACATTTTTTTTTTTTGCGCAGACGAGGGAGCCACTTCTTAATTTTTTGATACAAAATCCATTTGTTTGGAAATTCAGTGTAACGATGAAACCTTGTTTCATTACACTCATGATAGGAGTCTATCCAACATTCAAGTTTCATTTTAGATATATTCAATTTAGGTAAATGGATTGGTAGAATTGTCATGCCCGCACTTTGAGTTAGGGTTTGATTTGTTTGATACTCATGTATATTGTGATGTTTTCTTATATAAGGACCCAAGTATTTAACTTTTTTTTATTACGTAATTATTTGGGATGAACGTGACTTTATATGGATTTTTTTGGTTTTTATTAAATAGACATTAAACTTTTTAAATAATGTAGAGGATTCAAATTTTGGTTTTTTATTAGATGCACATTGATTTTTTATCTAACGTTTGTTAAGAAAAATAATATAGAAGATTATTAAATCGAAATCTTATATTTATATTTGTTATTATTTTTAAACTAAACTAATTTTAAATTTTGAATGTTCTATAGAAGATCACAATAATATCTTATTTTGTTATTATAATTTTGCCAACTGAACTATGTGAAAACATATGTGCACGTAAATGGAGCACCGCCTTTACAGAAAATATGAATTATTAGATAAACGATTTGTTTAATGTGATTTTGTTATTATAATTTTGCCTACTGTGAAGTATATGAAAACATATGTGCATGTATTCTATATGAATATAGTATTATAATATATATATATATATATATATATATATATAGATATGTGTACATATGGAAAGTCACAGTGATCCACGACAGAGCTATAGTAAATTTTATAGGTGTATAATATAGTATTATCCATAATATTATAATATATATGTGTATTAAAATTATCACGTTCAGCCCAAAATTTATCTAATATTACCCATATCGATGAATAATAATATCAGGCCATTCGTAGTGCATCCGGCGAATCATTCCAGATTTAGTTATTAGTACATTAAATTTTGTCATCTAATTAATTTCTTTTATTTATGAAAATATCACAAAAAAAAATTGCCATGTCATCAACCACATGTGTTAGTAAATGTCATGTCACAATTACATCATCATTACACATCATCATTTCCATGTCATATTTAATTAGGATAGACAAATGATTTTAACCAATCAGATTAAAACAAATTAGCATTTTTCATTAAACTACATTCTCAATTAATAGGTAGAGGATTAGTATTTATATGGATTTATAAGTTAAAATTTTGCTTTCAGATCTGATAAAACTATATTTATAATTATTTAAATTTGGATTTAATTCTAATAACTACTTTTTCTTTTAGTTTATTTTATATTTAAAATTTATTTTATTTTTCTAAAAAGCCCGAAAAAAGCCTGATAAACCCTGTTAGGGCCGGGTCAGGCTTCAAAATATAGGCTCGATATACTATCGGGCTGGTCCGGGCTTACATATATGCGGGCTTTACTGGTTTCGGGCTGGGCTGGGCTGGGCCGGACCAGCCCGTTTGACATGCCTACCTAATAGATTGAATGAATAATAGGAGAAGCTAACGATGAATTCGTTTCGTACCAAGCGGAAGATGGGGTTTCTCGATGGAACTCTGAAGCGGCCGTCTCCTAACTCTGAAGATGCAGAAGAGTGGGATATGGTCAATGCCATAATTATTGGGTGGATCTACAGTAGCATAGAACCCAAACTTCGGCCTTCAATCTCATTGGTAGAAAGCACGAAAGTCATGTGGGCTAGTCTTCGGCAACATTTTTTGGTGAGTGACGATACCCGAATTCATCAGCTACTGGCTGGTATTGTTGTGTGTACACAAGAAAGAGTGCTTAAGGTGTTATGGGATGATTTGGCTGACTTTGACAAAGGATTCAATTGCTACTGCAAAGAACCAGAGTGTTTCTCAATGCTAGCGTATTAGAAAGGTCAAGAACGATTTCGTGCACAAGAATTCCGGACAGGACTTGACAACTCCCATTTTAGAATAACACATTCCAATCTTTTAGGCAGATATGATGAGGACATAAAGTCATCATCAGCCAAGGAGCACGGATCCAGGAGTTATGTGGAGAAAAGCATGAAGCTGAGGATAGCTAAAGAGACATATAAGTTGAGTTCAGCTCAAATGGAGGTTAATATCAAACATTTAAACTCAACCAACACTTAAAGAGTATATTCAACTCATCCAAAGTTCACCACAAAGAAGAATCAGCAAAAAAAGAGTTCATATGAAAATGATATTGAAGATACAAGTTGGCAGATCTTCAATAGACCCGATGGAGATATACGACTACTAATCAAATCATTCCAGCCAAACCAAGACGAACCAAACAACAAAACCGGATATTTTGGAAAGTTAACTCATCAGAGAACCGAGGCGAATTGGATTCACGCCAAAATTTATTACGGTTTAAAATTTATACATTTTCTAAACCGAAAAATGCTCAGCTTGCCTTATTTGGAAGCTCACGAGTTTAAGCATGTAATAGCACCCACATGATCAGACGGATCCTTTCACACTTCTACTTACCATATATGGAAGCATTCACACTTGATCCAATAACTCTCCAACAACTCCTTCTCTTCTTGGTCCAATACAAGCACGGCTTGGGGAGATTATTCATCATAAAGATATCAAGATACGAGTCAACAAACCCCTTTCATTCAGCCCATTGCTCATCATTCATCAAATGACTTAAAATCCCATTAATCTCTCTTTTTGATTCTTTTATGATTTTTGTATAATTTTCTTTTAAATTTAATTTGTAGAACGTGTACTGAGCATCTATATAAGCTCATCTCTTCTTTCATTGTAAATCACCTTTCAATCAACCAAGAAAATATAAAGTTTGTTCTTCTTTTTATTCAATGAGTGTCTTTGTCTAAATAATTGTCGTTAGATTCATTTATCTCTACTGATTCTTGGAATAGTACTGTTTGTGAGATTCAGGCAAGTCTAGTTCCAAAGGCTGAGTGAGTCAGTCATCCCAAGGATTGAGAGAGTCAATCAAAATTCCACCTCCATTGTTACATTCATCCACTTCCGCCCCAAGCAAGTTGATCAATTTCGATCTCCATTTGTTCTAAGATGGTGGAGTGATTTCCAATCTTATATCAGGAGCTGACATGAATCTAGAGACTATCTACTCTCAGATCATCCAAGAGGAACAACATCTCTTGGCAATGAAAAATACCGATGATAAAGTACCAGTTGTGGGGTTTTTGGCACATTACAAGCTTCACCAAACGTGCAAGCTGCGACAACTTGCTTCATGCAACCAACTACAACATGTTCTCATTGCGGCAAATCTGGACAAGAAGCAAGTAGCTGTTCTCAATTCATTGGATTTCTGATTGGTGGTATGATAAAAGCAAATAGCCAGGAAACAAAGGCAACAACCAAAAGGGCAGAAGTTACGGTCAGAGCAATCAAGGGAGAGGCAGAGGTGGTCAAGGATCCAGTTTTCATTTTAACAATGCACAGGTTGGTGAAGTTACATAGAGCTCCAGAATCCTAAATTCCACACCAGAACAATGGGCGTCTTTGGCTTCTTTCATGAATACGCATAAATAGTCTTCTTCCTCCAACAAGCTTTCGGGTAAGAAAGACACACTGCATTTTTCTTATACAGACATCAGATTCGATATATCGACTCTGCCGCATCTCACCATATGACTAGAAAGATTAACTTGTTGACCGATGTGGTCACAATCAAACTTTGTCTGATTACTATGCTGAATGGACAAGTAACTTCTATATCGGGTATTCTATGCACCAAATTTATTTGTTACCTTGATCTCTGTTGCTCAACTTTTACATGATGTAGTTTCGTATTATTTACAAAGAAGTTTTGTGTTATACATTACCAAATTTTGAAGACTTTGATTGATGCAGGTGAGGAACGTGATGGGATCTATCATTACACAGTACTGTAGCATTTCAAGCTGGTTTTGCTGGAAAACTGGAAAGTCATGAGCCGTGGCACCGTCATTTGGGCCATCTATCTTCAAATGTGCTTTCGGTTTTATCATCTTTAGGTGGTTTTCTAGTAGTCCGGATGGTGTTGAAAAGGCTTGTGATATATGTGGTCTAGCCAAACAATCTAATAATAAGTTTTCTGAAAGTTCTAAAGTGGATGATATTTTTTCAATGATTCATTGTGATCTTTGGGACTCATATCGGCTTCCTTCTTCTTCTGGAGCACATTATTTCTTCACTATTGTTGATGATTTCTCACGTGCTGTTTGGACAATTCTCTTATTTGAAAAAGAGGAATCACCAAATGCATTGATTTTTTTTTCAAGTTCGTCTCTCAACAATAAAATAAGTTCATCGAAGTTGTTAGAAACAACAATGGAACAAAGTTTATTTGTTAAAACATTTTTTTGCAGATAATGTAGTGGTTCATCAGATGTCTTGCGTTGTGATAGACTCAAAGTTTCACCTAAATAAAACTACTGCAAGTGCACAACAAAGCAGATGTAGTGGAAATGGTATCGAAATTCCAAGAGACTTAAGGAAGCCACACAACAGATTCTAGATTCGAATTATGCTATGAGTAAATAAAATGTAATGCAAATAAACTACAAAAAAGCAGCATATGACCGATTTGAGGTTTTAAATTCAAGAAGACAAAATGCTAGGCTTTGGAAAATTCGCAGGTTAAAATCAAAACTGCAGAATAAAAACTGTCAGGATATTTATTAAGTACCGTTCTAGAACTCAAAACACAAATATAAAATCAATCAACTCTCGCTGCAGAAATTTTCTATGTCTAAATCTTAGAATCTCAAATCTCTTTGCAAATTCAAATAATTCAGACAAGCAATAAGGTCAGTTTCAATATGTTCAGAAATTTTTTAAATCAAATCTCTTTGTAGATAGTAACTTTGCTCATCTAAGATTAGTTCAGGTAATTAACAATACTCTCGCATCTATTAATCAACCTAATATCAGATTCTAGGCCACGAAGTTAAAATAAGCAATAAACAAAAATATAGATGAAGAACTAACAGATTAATCCCAACAGTAATTCAATTCTAACAATTCATAACCTTTGAAAACCCAAAACCTAATTAACAAACTACTCAGACATGGTGAATTGAAAAAACATCATGAATAAAATAGATTGCATAAAAGAAATAAGTAAAGAGATAAAAGGGGTTCGAATCCTTCTTTCAGTGATAGAGTTAAATAGTAAATCACAAGTAATGGATAAGACTTAGAATAAATGTTCCTGAAACAAAGACTCTAAACTCACCTGCAGAGAATCTATGATTGCAGAAGAGATTCTCAGCTAAGGTTGATGTTGTTTGATAAAGAAGACAAGAGCGAAGAGAAGGGTTTTCTTAAAACTTTTGATTGATATCTATTACAGCGTATTACAAATCCTTATATAAGAAATTAAACCGACTTAAGAATATGGAAAACTTCTAGATTAGAAAACCCGATAATAAAAGCTTAGTTAATTACATGACCCTCCTACTAATGTAATATTTTCTATATCAAATTCCCCGTTTAAAAGAACCTTGTCCTCAAGGTCGAAATGAAGAAACTTCCGTTTTATGTCAAAAAGAAATTGCCACATAGCTTCTTCCACCAGCTGGTTCACCCACTTGATTAAAACCATTGTAGCTGCCCTGCCTTGACGCTGTACCATCTTCCACTCTAAGTTTTCCTTAGGTTCTTTGATGAGCACATCCTGAATCACCCAAGGTAAGTGGCTCGAAGCTTGAAACTCTCCGACGTGAAGCTTCAGCTGAGATAGATGAAAGACTGGGTGTATTTGCGAAGAAGAGGGAAGCTCCAATTTATACGCCACTTTTCCATATTTGTCAAGGATCTTATATGGACCGAAGAACATAAGCGAGAGCTTCTGATTGGGATGCATAACCAATGATTTTTTGTGATAAGGCTGCAGTTTAACATAAACATACTCCCCAATGTCAAAATTGCGATCAGTATGGTGCTGATCTGCACCTTGCTGCATCCTGTGTTGCACGCGCAAGAGATGAAATTTCAAAATCAGTATCATATTCTTTCGTTCTTACAAACACTTCGCGACGACTGCCACCTTTGATTCGCCAGAGAGGTAAGGCAAATGCTGAGGAGGAGATTGTCCATAAACAGTCTCATAAGGTGTCATCTGAATCGCAGTGTGAAAGTTAGTGTTGTACCAAAATTCCACCAACGGTAGCCACTTACTCCACATATGAGGGCGATCACTGCACATACATCGCAAATATGTCTCCAAGCATCTGTTCACCACTTCCGTTTGATCATCACTCTGCGGATGATAAGCACTCGGCAGATTTAAAGCGACTCCTTACAAACTGAATAACTCCATCCAAAACTTGCTGAGAAACACAGCATCTTAGTCACTAATGATAGACTGTGGAAATCCGTGGAGTTTGAAGACATTATCAAGGAATGTTTGAGCCACATAAGCGGCAGAATAGGGGTGAGAAAGGGCCATGAAGTGAGCTGTCTTACTCAATCGATCAACCACCACGAAGATAATGGATTAATCGAAAGAAGAAGGTAACCCATCAATGAAATCCATTGAAATATCAGTCCAAATTGTCTATGGAATTGGGAGTGGTTGAATCAAACCCGGAGAAGCAGAAGTATCGTACTTGCATTGTTGACAGACATTGCAACTTCGAATATAGGTTTGTATATCCTTAGACATTCCCTTCCAGTAGAATATCCATTTGACTCGCTGATGAGTAACATCACGACCGGAATGACCCCCAGTTTCAGAACCGTGTAACCACTCCAAGATAGTGTTATGCAAAGAAGCGTCAAAAGGAACGACTATCTTACTTTTCCTCCTCAAGATATTTTGGGACCAAGAGAAGTGTTCCTTAGCGTTAGGACTCTGTTTCAGCTCTTCAATGATTGTGTTAGTCGCCAAATCCGTGGTATAGCCAGCATGAATTCGCTGCAATAAATTACAGTCAAGGACTGACATAGCCATATGTAATATCTCAGACCCCTCCATACGAGATAAAGCATCAGGGACCAAGTTATCTTTCCCTTATTTATACTGAATTTCATAGTCGAACTCTAGTAGCTTAGGAAGCCATTGTTGTTGGATGGAGGTGTTAAATCGCTGTTTCAACAAGTATTTACGACTGCACTGATCTGTCTCAATAATAAAATATTAATGCACCATTTTGAAGGGGAGTATTAGAATATTTATATAAAATTTAGATAGATACATATATTTATAGGATTGGGATAAACTCATATCTTAGATCAATTGTTATCTCCTAAATTATAAAATACTATGAGATATATAAATAGTTGTATAATTCATTCAGAAATACAATATAGAATACAATACAATTTGACAGTTATGACTTTTAAATACTGAACAAATCATAATTTATATAATGAACATTGGCCTACTTTAACTTTGTAAAATCGATTTTTAGTTATAGTAAAATAAAATAAAATTGAAGATTATGTATATATTAAAAGAGAATAATCAAAGGTGTTATAAACGCCAACATTTTTCATATGGTCAGTCCGAATATTGTAGAAGTTTAAGGAGATCGACGAATTTTTATATCTTATAAATTATTATTATTTTGAATTTTCATAGGGATTTGGGTGTTTGTTACACTTCACAAACACTTTCGTCTAAATTAGAGTGTTTCTTTACCATTCACTAACAATTTAAAAGGAGTCAATTAAAGATCACTCAGTTAAATCTCAATAAAATTTAAAATATTGAAGATTTTAAAAGCCAAATAAATAAATAACACATTTAAAAAATGTTTATCTTAGACTTTGAGAGTGTCAGAAGGTGAAAAAGATTAAGTTTTTCTCATTTTCTTATTTGTTTGCTTTCAATTTGATTTTGTAATTAAATTAAGCTATTAATGCTTAAATGATATTTTTATATAATTCAGGCTAATGTGATATATATATATATATATATCTTTTTGTTATCTGTAACTAAGATCCACACACATTGGACCATATTTCAATCCATACTAAAATTCGATAAATATATTAATAAAAACTATTATGTCACAAACTCCAACCAAAAAAAATTCGTATACATTTTTATTCTTTTGGTTAAGCATATAATTTTTTTTATTATTATAAACGCGTTTTTTTAGTTTTAATACAGATTAAAATAAATCATGGGCAATGATAATAGCATAAGCAGTCCATACGTCCTTGGCCAGCATCAGAGCAAATGCCGGCTCCTTGCTTCTTTTTCTTCTCACACGTAGATTGACATTCGTTGGTATTACATTTTCCTGTTTTGCTTGGGAAGACGTCAAGACAAGGTCTTGGTGGTCTCTGCTGCACATTCCCTAGTACTTCAATTACTGTAATAATTGAAACATAAATCTTAGCTTTAATATTTAAAATGATAAAAGTAGTTTTTGTGAAAATAAATATTTTGAAGAGTTGCTATTTGTTATTCTTTGAAAACATTTCTCATTCATTGTTAATCTTTGAAAACATAACAATACATACAACTAAAGGATAATAATTACATACAAGTCATTATTCAATAATTGACAATATCAGTATAAATTGGCAAACAAAACTACGTAACCTCAATATTTATAAAACAAATTGTGGATTGAAACATTTATCTATGTGACACAAAAGTAGAAAGAAGAATGAATGATGACAAAAAGAAATGCAATTGAAATATATTTAGTCAAATTATATCTCACTCATTTTTCATGATATATTCGGACTATGAAAATTTATTAGAGAATTAACTAAAACTAGATAATAACCTGCACCTTATACGGGATGAAATAATTATTATTTATTAAAGTTAATATAATTATAAAATTATATAATATTATATAATATAATTAAACTTATATGAATTTTATATAATATTATATTATAACATTGACAATATAATTTTTTATGGAATATGAAGTAATTTAATTATTATATAAAATTTCAATTAATTGAAAAATTAAATATCATGCATAGCACATATAATAGCTGGATAGAAATACGAAGTCGTCTTATAGATTTTATATATCCCGTGATTGATGATATGATGTAACATTTTCACAAATATTTAAGATTTGAGTATATAATATTTATGTATATATTTTATTACTTTCGACTCTTAAATAATAAATAAATATTATTAGTTAAATAATTTGTTACTTATCTACTATATCAAATGAATTTAAAAAGACACAATTTTATGTTTTTAATTTGGAAAACAATAACTAAATCCATAAATGATCTCTTTGTAAAAGAAAAGAATAATTATTAACTCCAAAAATATTAAATAAAAAATATTATCTAAAATATAATAGCATTTTATTAATAAAACTATATATAAAAGCATATATTGGTCCTGGCGACCATTTGAATATTATCAACATACATTGATTGGAAGTCTGTCTATTTATAAAATACAATATATATTAGTAAGTAATGATTTCGGTACATGTAAATAATTATAGGACAATGCTTTGTACATTTATCTGAATAATTGTACTTGCAGAATTTGAGTATCTAATAGAACTCAAGAATATTTGAAAATTTAAAATCTATGTGAATCCACCTAGTAAAAAAATAACACGTATTATATGATAGAAAAAAAATTCATGACAATAATATAATTCATATTTTTATATACAACTTCAAAATTATATAGTTCTCATTCAATTCTTCGTAATTTTAAAACACACATCACAATATTAATGTCAGTAAACCACTAATGTTTTTTAGCTAAAGTTTCTCTATGCAACAAATTTGATTTTATTTTACATGTGAATAATTGAATAGATGATAAATTGTATGTTAGGAGTATAATATATACATAAAAAGCGAAATATTAAATTTAAAATATAAAATAGTTAGAGTTTTGATGCGCTTTTGCTATCATTGATTATATAGAAATGATTTGACAAATAAAATTTATTATAATTAGCTTCTATAAAAGTATTGACGTTTATCCATCTTATATATTATTTTTTACTCCAGATAAATTTAAACATTGATGACTTATTAAACAAAAGTGTCACTATCGTTTATACTCAAAATCTTTGAATATGAATATCTAAATTAACAAAACAAATTTTAATTAATATATTACTTATATCTAAATTAAATTAGTGAGTGTGCCATAAATTAAATTACTTATGTTATTAACATATATCGAACACAACAGATTTCATTTTTATTAAAATCATTAATAAATTCCCAACTAATTCATAATTATATTTTATTAACTATTAAATACTATTTATTGTATACTAAATTTTAAAAAGAGTCTAAATTAATAAATTGTTTTTAATTAAAAAAGTAGATCTAAATTTATTACTGATTAAATTAGTTCTATAAGTTACTATATATCAAATTTAATAAATGCATTTTAGTAACAAAAAAAGAAAAAGAATTAATAGATAGATTTTGATTAAATTATTTGTTAATTCTAATAAAAATAAAATTTATTTTATTAATAAAATTACAAAAATCAAAATTGACTAGAATTTTATAATCGATTTTAATAATATTTTATACAATGTAATTGTATAGTTAGGTTAATCTGTAAATACCAGTCATAAGAATATTAATTTTTTTTTGTTTTTAAAAGCAAATTACTATAGAATTTATTTTTAAATATTAAATATACATAAATTTTTAAAAGGGTCTAAATTAATAAATTGTTTTTAATTAAAAAAATAGATCTAAATTTATTACTGATAAAATTAGTTCTATAGTTACTATATATAAAATTTAATAGATGCATTTTAGCAACAAAAAAAGAAAATAATTAATAGATAGATTTTGATTAAATTATTTGTTAATTTCTAAAACGTTATAATAAAAATAAGATTTTTTTTATTAATAAAATTGCAAAACATAAAATTAATTATAGAATTTTATAATTGATTTTAATATTATTTTATACAATGTAATTGTATAGTTAGGTTAATCTGTAAATATCAGTCATAAGAATATTAATTTTGTTTTGTTTTTAAAAGAAAATTATTATAGAATTTATTTTAAATATTAAATATACATAATAATTATATCAAAATAGATTTAATATTTTTTAAGTTTAGTATTACTAATAAATTATATAAAATTATATATAACTGAGTCAATATTTATGAACTATTAATTTTTTGATCCAGTAAAAATATTTTTAATATCAATAAGTTTGATTAAATTATTATATAATATGTTAACAATTTTTTTTAAAAAAACGTTTTCACCAAGTAATTTTGTATTCATAAATTAAAATTGTATAATGTATCACTTTCTTAACAAAACTAAAATATTCATAATCTTATCTTCTTTCAATATATCTAACAATTATTTTATATTTTAACTTTTTGATATAATATTTTAATTTGGTTATATCAAATTTAAGTAATTATATTATTTACTTAATTTTTATGGTTCTATTAGAAAATATATTAAATAAAAAACAATTTAATATGAATACCAATTAAATCAAGTTTTCTACTTTAATTTGTTTTTGTAGCATTTATGGGGTTTTTATAATGATTTATGAACACATATACAAACAAATACATTGATAAAAATATCAATTAAATCAAATTATAATGATTTACTTTTATTTATAATGATTATATTGAACTCGAATTATAATCAGTTTTTAGAATAATTATAATAAACTTAAATTATAATGATTTATGTTTATTTATTAATAATTTGAGTAATTTATATTCAGTTTTTAAAATTCAAATTCTAAAATATGTAAGAAAAATTTATATTTTTTTATTATATGATAATTTATTTATTTTACAAAAGTAAGTTTAAATGAAAATAAGAGAAAAATACATTTTTGGTAGAAAATGTAATTAAAAAAATAATTAATATGATATATTTTAGATAATAAATAAAAGAAAGAGAATATTTTAATAAATTAAATGCTGATTTATAAAATAAAACATAACATATGTATGGACTTAAAATATACAATGGCATATCATGTAATTAGTCTAGTAATCTAAGTTTTTTTTATAATAATTAGCTGAGAATGAATATGTTGTTAACACATCAACATAATGGCACCACTGTAATACTTATAAAAATGAAATTGCTTTTTAAAAATGCTTCTTAATTAATATATATGGGATAGAAGAAAAAATGAGGGTGTGAGACAGGCCAACCCAATTTTCTAGGTTTTTATATGAATATGTGACGACATAGCTAAAGTCAATATTATGGAAAAATGATACAGATTTGAATATTATAGAAATATAATTGTAAAATTTTCATTTAAATACAAACCTAGCAGAAGAACGATGAAGATAGTTAGACCATTAAAGGATAGTTAAAATTTCTTCATCCTAGATGATATAAATAAATTGATGGTGTTTTAAAAATGGGAAAAAGAAAGAAGAAGTATACTTATATAAGAACGAAGAAGGTAGTTAAATCCCACATTTAGATGCATCTAATTTAAGCTACCTAGTTCTTTGAATCCCAATATAAAAGGATCTAGTTTCATACACGTCCAAGTTTTTTGCTCATTTGATAGGTAGAAGCTTTAGACTCGCTCACTTTGTTCTTTATTTAAAACTAGGTGATGACACAGGCAGATTACATTTTATTATATATTTTTTAATTTGAAATTAATATATATTTTATTTTAAATAGAGTAATGATATAATTTATAGTAGAACCTCTATAAATTATTTAATTTATTAATATTTTGATAATTGAATATTTTTTATGAGGTCTAAAATTAGTTTATCAATCATATAATATATTTATAAATTAGTAATTACTATAGATTAATAAATTTTTATAAAAATTTATGATTCCAATGTTATTAATTTATCGAAGTTTTACTATATTAACTATGCAAATTTATAATCTATACATATTTTCGCTTATAGTTTTTTTTTTAAATATAAAGTTCAAAATTTTACTAAAATAAATTTTTTTCCTGTTTTTTTTTTGTTATGAACTTATTAACAAAAGAAATTTTTTGTTGAAATTTTATTATGATAGTATTGTTGAGTTCACTCTCAGCGCATCCAACCAAAAGATGACACGTTGATAATAGGCTCTATCAAAATGATAAGTTTTTTGCTTAGGCCTGCTCCAACGGCTTCTTATTGGATTGTTCCCGAACAATTGGCGAGCTTCCTAAGTCGAAGACGTGCTACGTCAGCTCATCTACTCCAGCCATATGTCGTACTGATGGGATAGGTGAGAAAAAACAGAGTACAAAGACTAGGCGAAAGTCAAAAGAGAAAAAGGGGTTTGGACCCAGAATGAGATATAGAGAAAGAGAGATGAACATGGAAAGAGGAGAGGATCACCAAGCTCTCACACCCTCACCATAAGTTCTATGTGGCCCCGAGCATATAGCGAGACTTAAGGAAATACGCTCGTCGTCCCTCAGAAGAAACACCAGCCAAAATAAGTTCCCTCTTTCTCTCTTAATTTTCTGATCTAACACCTCTTAGGGAGAGAG